GATAGTATGGGACCATCTGACGACTTAGTGCAGATAGTATTTAACCATCTAACGACTTAGTGCAGATATTATGGGACCATCTAACGACTTAGTGCAGATATTATGGGACCATCTAACGACTTAGTGCAGATAGTATTTAACCATCTAACGAATTAGTGCAGATAGTATGGGACCATCTAACGACTTAGTGTAGATAGTATTTAACCATCTAACGAATTAGTGCAGATAGTATGGGACCATCTGACGACTTAGTGCAGATAGTATTTAACCATCTAACGACTGAGTAAGACAGTTTGAGACCATCTAACGATTTAGTGCAGATAGTATGGGACCATCTGACGACTTTGAGCAGATAGTATGGCCCCATTTTTTTTCAATCCACCCTACATAATTCTAAAATTAACAAAAATTAGAAGCGCCGTGTTGTCTTTTCCTGTTCCTGATGGGTAGACCTGACCAAGTCTGTAAGGCAAATATTATCAGTTAAAATCCTAAATCAAGATCATATAAATGACGGTCCTTAAACCGTCCGCTTATCTGGACTTTCCTATCATAAGTATAGAATTAGAATACATGTACACCCATTTAAATCAGTACAGCCTTGAAGCAAGGCTACTTGTTGGCCTGCCCTGGCAACTGTAGAGAGGGCTGAGAGAGAACCACATCCCTCCAGGTCCAGCCTAGGGTGTACCCACTCATCAAGAGTGCTGAATTCCGCAGACTCAAATCAAACACTTGTACTGATAACCAGTTTCCGGGTTGGCAATAATTCAAACAAGTCAACAACGCATCATAAACACTGCCAGTTTGTGATATAATATACTACTAAAAAGAGAGGTCAAAGAACACCCGATTCTTTCTTATTACTATAGTTTAAGCTGTTTTGGCATGCCAGATTAACTATGTGAGGTGAGGTGAAATGGGGTTTAACGTCGCGTCCAAGATTATTGCACTTATATAGCGACGTGCATGTACGTGTGTGTGTTTGTGTGGCTGCTTGTACTAGTCCGGACTGATGCCGATTTATAGTGCTAGCTCACTGAGATACCATGCCGCAGTTTAACATGAATACCCCACTCAGACACAGTAAACTGACTCCGAGCCGACTAGTCGTTGTTTTAGACCCTACATGCCGAGCGCCAGACAGGGTAACAACAAGTACCATCTTTCAACGTCTTTTGGGATGACGCGGTCGGGGATCGAACCCCGGACCTTCCGCTCTCCGGGCGGACGCTCTACCACTAGACCACGGAGGCGGTCAGATTAACTATGTAGTAACATGAAAGAATCGGGTGTTCCTTAACTTCGTTTGATTAATATATATATATATTTATAAATCTGTCAAACTCAATTATGTTAATAGTCTACCACTTTCACCCAATTGGAGTGAGATTTTAATACCAAGTTGAACTTGAAACAAATATCATAATACAATAAAGAATTTATTTTTCATGTACCTCAAAATATAATTGTGAGATGAACGTGCAACTCTTTATTCTGAGGCTGCAACTATATACATATACACTCTTCAAAAAAAGAAACTCACAGGTAGATTTTTAGTAAATTTATTGTACCTAATAAAGTCGAAATACTTAATTTAATATCATAGATACAAATATGAAAATTTGGAGCTCGATAGTCACATGTTGTCGTTGTACAGAGGCATTGAAAACTCTTCATTTTCATGTCACATAAGGCCACAAGGTTGCGCTGAACTCAGTATCTCGTGTGACCGCCCCGGGCAGCAATCACGGCTCTGCATGTCCTCGGCACTGACTGGATGAGTGTAAGGAATTTTTTCCTGCGGAATTCTGCGCCATTCTGCTTGTAACGCGTTGGCCAGTTGTGGGAGTGTCTGTGGCGTGTTCTGACGTTGACGTACACGTCGATCGAGTTCACCCTAGAGGTGTTCTATTGGGTTGAGATCTGGAGATCTCGACGGCCAGGGCAAGCCGTTGATGTTTGCATTATGCAGGTAGTCTACCGTACACGAGCTGTGTGCGGTGGAGCGTTGTCCTGTTGAAACAGGTGGTCAATGATTGGACGAAGGTGAGGTCGAAGAATTTGATTCATGTTGCAATTTGCTGTCAAATTTCCCTGAACCTCAACCAAGTCAGATCTCGTGGTGTAGGATATGGCTCCCCACACCATGACACTAACGCCACCGAAATTGTCGAATTCACGTACACAATGTGGGGCAAAACACCCATTTCGACGACGATAAACACGTTGTCTTCCATCTCGCCGGTGAAGAAGAAATCGTGATTCATCGCTAAACCACACTCGTCTCCAGTTTCTCTAATTCCAAGGCTGTATGGTATGGTACCAACGCAAGCGTCGCTGTCGATGGATCTGTTGCAAAGCAGGGGCGATAACTGGTCTCCTGGGTCGATTCCAGCCTCGCGAAGATGGTTTCTGACAGTCTGGTCCGATATCCTCCTCAAACCAGGGATACGTCCTGCAGTCTCCGTAGCTGTGGCATTGCGATGACGTAGGTGGAACAGTCGAATGTAGCGATCCTGTGCATGGGGGTGGTAACTTTTGGTCGGCCGGTTCTCGGACGGTCTGCAAAGATTAAACTGTGTGTTTCGGTCCCAAAGGCGGCAAATGGTGCTGTGGTGGACGTTGAAGTGGCATGCAACAGAAAACTGCGATTCTTCTCTTTGGAAACGTCCTACGTAATCTGTCATTCAAAGCCCAGAACAGAAATGTAAAAAAATAACTGTCAGGATGTAAATAAGTGAGTGAATTTTCAAATGAACTAGATTAATAATCGCAGAAATCAGTGCTTGTCATGCCTTGACCGCGCATATATGGCATGCTTGTATTTGTAATAGTATGTAGTTAATCATATAAAACTTTGTTCTAGTTCGTTTTGTCCATCGCAATCCTGGCAAAGAAATGAACCGTGCTCCCGTGTCCTACATAATGTCTCATATGGTAACCTCCCAAAACCCCTACATCCCAAAACCCCTACAGCTTAAGACAACAAAGTTCAAGGTCCATGGCACTGCTAATCCCTAGTCTGTTACCTATTTCATACAATGGAACAACCCAAGAAACTCGAATAGATTGAGATAAATATTTAATTACGATTACGATATTATTCAAAATTCATAATACATTATAATAAAAGGTTCATTTTTCAAAATTCATAATACATTATAATAAAATGTTCATTTTTCAAAATTCATAATACATTATAACAAAATGTTCATTTTACATCTCAACTGTAAATCGTGTCATCTCAGTTTCTCAGTGTAATAATTGCTTCTTCCTATTGTTGTTTGTAATTTCTAAAAATTGTCTTCTCATCATACAGGCATCTTTCATTACACTTACATTATTTTTATTTTTTTTAACTTTCCTTTAAGTCCCCTAATCCCCTAAAGCTCTATCCCTTTCATTTCTACTACCTCTACTCCAGACCTTAATCTCTCCTTTAGGTGAGTTCATAATGCCAGACAGGTAAATGCCGCGTGTTGTTTTAACTAATTGTAGGGGAACTGGGATGTAGGGGAAATGGGATGTAGGGGTTTTGGGAGATAACCTCTCATATGCATAAGCGGATCCAGAAGGGTGTAAACCCCCCCCCCCCCCCCCCCCCTTTAAAAACCAAATTTAGTATTTTTACTCTACCCTCCAATCCCAACTAAAAGAGGATCTTGTTATTGTACCCCACCCTTTTTATAAATCCTGGAACTCCGCCCTTAATATGTTCTAGTTAATCTTAATTCTAACTTAATAAACCGTCGTAAAACCTGTCGTGTGTTCCTATTAATCTTATTTTCATTAACTGCCCAACTCGGATCGCGCACGTTCTCTGCCTGAAAAGAGTAGGTATGTAAAACAATACTGCGCCACTATGTTTTTTTTTTACTTTTTTCTTTATCGTATTTGAATCGCATTTCGTTTGTATTCTTTTCGCGTAATTCGCATTTCGTTTCTACTGTAATCCCAGTTTGGTATTTTCTACTGTAATCCCAGTTTGGTATTTTTGTCTCCCATCTGAGTAAACTCGTGTGAATTGGAAAGTAGGGTTTTTGATATATTGGCGCTGGGATCGTCCCTTGCAGGAGTGTTGGCCACTTTGCACATAGGCGTCACTGCGAATTTCACCACGTCCGTGTCTACCAGAAATCCGATTTTTCGAGTGTCGTCTGTAGTATGCAAAATGTTAAAATTAATTATGTACCACTCAACATTTGATAGGGATTATCAGATATGTCATTCTGTATAAATATACACATAAGATATTATGAGAATCTGTTATGTGTATCATGGAAAGATAAATGTCCCTATGAAAAGTGGAGCCGTATATTTCAAAGCTAATCCCTGTTCTTCAGAGAAGTTACATTATCAAATCTTATCTGATTTCAAAGTTATGCGACTGTTCTACAAACATGGAAAACGCACTCATCAAAAGTATGTCTCCCAAACCTTCAATTTTCAGAGTAACTCGGACTCGACCCTGAATCTCAAATATCAACACATGCAGACTGTACCCTTGACATATTCAAAACAAATTATGGAGTTTTATAGGTCACGCATTTTCATAATTCAGCCTGTATTTGCTGTGGTGATGGTGTGACAGCCTGATGATGTTAATTGCATACTTCGTGACCCTTCAGCACGTAATTAGTGACTTCCTGCCCCACGGTTATCGTGTTGGTTCAGTCATGGGGATCTATGTCGCTTGTGTGCACGGACTTTTTGGTTGGTTGGTTGGTTGGTTTGTTGTTTAACGCCGCACTCAGCAATATTCCAGCTATATGACGGCGGTCTGGACCAGACAATCCAGTGATAAATATCATGAGCATCGATCCACGCAATTGGGATCGATGACATGCGTCAACCAAGTCAGCGAGCCTGAACACCCGATCCCGTAAGTCGCCTTTTACGACAAGCATACTTACCTTTTACGGCAAGCATGGGTTGCTGAAGACCTATTCTGCCACGGAATCTTCACGGGTCGCACGGACATTTTGAAACAGGTGGGTTACAGTTAGATGTTCAGTGTATGTCTTCAATGCCAGGACCGCCACCGTGGTCTAGTGGTAGTGCGTCCGCCCGGAGAGCGAAAGGTCCGGGATTTGATCCCCGGTCACGTCATACCAAAGGACGTTAACAGATGGTACTTGTTGTTACCCTGCCTGGTACTCGGCATTACGTGGATTAAACAAGGACCGTTTGGTATTCATGTTAAACTGCGGCATGGTATCTCAGTGGGCTAGCACTATAAAATCGACAATAGTGCGGACTAGTACAGCCACAACACACGTGCATGCACGTCGCTATATAAGTGCAATAATCTTGGACGCGACGTTAAACCCTATATCACCTTACCTACAATGCCGGTTTTTACATCGCTTAGATTCCTTTGCAATGAATCCTCCTTTGTCCGGGCCCCGTTAACCCAGTCACCCTTGTCTTCCGGGCGATTACTGTAAAAGGCGACTAACAGGATCGGGTGGTCAGGCTCGCTGACTTGGTTGATGCATGTCATCGAATCCCAAATTGCGTGGATCAATGCTCATGATGTCTATCACTGGATTGTCTGGTCCCGACTCGATTATTTACAGACCACCGTCACTTGGCTGGAATATTGCTGAGTGCGACGTAAACAACAAACAAATATTACGTCGCAAATCACGTATTCGTTAATTCGACATTTATTAATTCCCATATCTTAAACTACGTGCATGGATAATACAATGTGTATATATAATATAGCTACACAACAGGCAAGGAATATGGGAGCGATCTCAATTAGGCGAAGAGACGCGTGTTGCGTTACTTACTTATGAGTGAGTGAGTATGGTTTCACGCCGCTTTTAGCAATATTCCAGCCATATCACGGCGGGGGACACCAGAAATTGGCTCCACTCATTGTACCCATGTCGGTAATCGAACCCGGGTCTTCGGCGTGACGAGCGAACGCTTCAACCACTAGGCTACCCGACCGCCCCGCGTTACTTATGATTCTGATCTTACTGGTTAACTTGCACGTGCATGTCGACGTTTTCAAAACAAGGAAGTAACTACAGCCATTATAGTTCCTACTTTGAACAGGCAGAAATCTGCCAAATTCGTTACCGTCATAAAAACAAGAAATTACAATCAATATATACAGATGCTGGTTGTTAATCTTCTGCGAAATTTTGGAAATCAGAAAGATTAATTCAAAGGTTAATGTATCTATAAGACCATGTGAATGATGCTTCGCCTAGGTGTTGATATAAACTGACTCATTTCAAGGGCGTAATCTCGTCATTTGATTCGAACCATGCTCGGCGGTGATCTATGAGATATTAATCAATTAACATTGCGGGCCTCTTCAAAATAAATACTGTATCAGAGGCTATTGATGAACTATACTACATAAAGAATGCCAGTAAAATATACCAGTCTCTTATATTCTGTGTGGTGTATAAACAAAATCAAACAAATACATTAAATTCCACTCAGGAGATATCGGCCAAACAGCCAGCGCTCTGTTTCTTTAGCTTGTGTCAATCCAGACTCACACTCGCAGATCTACGCAAAACACACTGTCTGTCATAACGTCAGTGTACACCGATATAAACAATCGCTGCACTGTTGACGCCAAACACCTCGTGCTATCGTTGTCAATATTGCGTTTCACATGTTCAACGAGACACGAGGCTGCTCTCTTTGACTCTGATATTGAAAAAATGTTGATGCTATATTTGCGGGCGACACTCCTCTTATTCGCTGTGTCAAGTTTCAGTGTAACATTTGTACGGTCGGAGGGTTTGAACTCTGCACAGCCACCGCGACGCAGAGTGATGATAATTTAGCATGCTTCTGGGGAGACCTTTGTACCATAGCTGATGATGGTAGTGCTGTTTGAAGCTGGAGTGGCGAGGATCACGCGGACTTGTATACCATTGTGATGAATGCATGCACCGAGAGGCCCCAACTGTCATCGGAGTATACGGGCAAGGGCAGATGAATGTAGACAATCGCCAACGGAAATCTGAACATCAGTTTTTGGCAGGCATGCTATTTGTTCATCGACAAAGGGATACTCATCTTTGTTACTGGACAGAGTCAGGTGAGTGTCCAATGGTTATAAAGGTTCTATACGACTTTATCAGAATTGTTTATACGAGTCTTCTTTGACATGCAATCATACATATTGCCGGGGATATGAAAGCATACACCCATGTTTGATTGTGGCTAAAATGAAACAAACAAGAAACGGTTATTCGATGCTGATGTATTTGATATGGGTCTCATAGTTGTGTTTTGGACTTTAAGTATGCAGTGTTTCGGCGACTGTTTTTCAGCCGAATGTAACATTTTCGTAACCTTTGTAAGTTTTTGTCAAAACCAATTTTCAAGAGTATAATTGTTTTTGACCGGTCGTTATAGGAAAATATAGGAAATATTTGATATATGTACAATAAAAAGTGTTTAGCCACACAATCTTGTCATGTCTTGTTGTACTCCGTTCTACTGATGATCAGATTGCAGATTTGATTTACATTTCGACTGGTAAATGAAAAGTAAAATGATAAGTATTAAACTTAAAGAGGGCTATTGGTCCTATGTAAAATTAAGAAACTTTAAAAGTGCTGCCTATTTGACACGACTTTAAAAAAACGTGTATAATATGTGTGTGTATTCATACATTTAAATAGATGATGTACGATTTTGACTATGATGTGAATCAGTACATGATGGTAGTTATACTAAAGCAAACAAACAGACACTATGACAGTAATATAAAATATGTCGATGATATAGTTATATCCCGGAGACGATCTGAAGTCGCCTACATCCGAAGCAATATCAATAACCGTCACATACCATCATGGAGATATCAATAACTTCCATTTCTCGATTGCAGTCACTGAAATTGAAGAAGCGATTGTTATACATTAAGCCACTTAAATAGCTGTAACAGTCAGCGATTCCGTGTATTTGAACCACACTTGGTGTAGGCGAGTTCGACACTGAGCAAATGTGTGTTTCAAAAAGGCGAAAGTGCAATGAAACGAAATTAGAAGTCATTCACTGGAAGTAAAATATTATTCAAAATATTGGCTGTCGGACATAATCAATAAAGCATACTCACTTTATGCGATAAGAAATAATTCAAATGATTTCAAAATGGAAATTACTGGAGGCCAGAACGTTTATTTCACCAGATATCAATGCAAATCAATCACTTATGACTGGATAATATCATGAAAATACAAAATAGTTTTCCAAGAAACAAACATATTCAAAGTTTAGTTTGGTGAGCAATAATTGTTGTGGATAATAAATACATTCTCTGCGCAATCTATTTGCCATGATTTTCGGTACGTTAGGTTTATTGCGTCTAACATATAAAACTGGTATAAGCTTTGATTGAGGTGGACATAAAACAGTAATAATATCTTCATATCCGTGATAAGATCTGCATAAGTCAGTTCCTAATCAACAGTTATTTCCCCTGAATAACGGAATGAGTGTACATCTAAAAAACACATCTGCACCTATGTCATAAGTCACAATAGAATGACGTGACACGAAGAATATTTTTCCGGTAAACGTGCTTTGATGTACCTGTTATATTTTGAATAAAGTCAAGAGAAATAAAACAGGCAAAAGAAATGTATCTTGAGATATTTCGTATTACCTGTATTCGATATGCCAAACGGACGTATCCCGCTATTTGAGTGAGTGATTTCTACTTCAAGTGAGTAATTGAGTGAGTATTATATTACGCCGCTATTAGCAGTATAATACTCCAGCAGTATCGCGGAGGTTAACACTAGAAAAAGGTTTCACACACTGTACCCATGTGGGGAATCGAACCCCACAGGATACCCCACAGCAAAGTTGGGTTTTTATTTCAAATATGATATGTGTCAGCGTAATAGGGCAGATCAATAATTATTGAGGACAAATCTGTGATTAGAACCCACGACAAGCTGATCCTGGCATTGCTAAGGAACGCAACTCTACATAGCAAATCGCGTCGCCTCGTTAAACCGCAGGTCTATATATAGTGTGAACCTCGCCACAAGGTAACCCATGCTGTCACAATCATGTGCTTTATAATCTGTACAAAGAATATTACATTTATGCGACTGATGTTATGGAAACTATATATAACTCCAGGATAAAGGAGGTTCCGCTGTATCACAGCACGAGAAATCACGTTGTAATGAGAACATGGTCCTTACCTGCCAACAAAACCATCAGGAATGGATCCAATACTTAAATGACCTTCACCTTCGTGGGGTTCATAATCAGCCTGGTTCCCTTCACCACCGGGTAGCGCGTCCGCCTGGATAGCGGAAGGTTCGGGGTTCGATCCCCGGCCGCGTCATACCAAAAGACGCTAAAAGATGGTACTTGTTGTTACCCTGTCTGGCGCTCGGCATTTAGGGGCTAAAACAAGCACTGGTCGGCTCGGAGTCAATATACTGTGCCAGAGTGGGGTATTCATGTTCAACTGCGGCATGGTATCTCAGTGGGCTAGCACTATTAATCGGTATCAGTCCGGACTAGTACAAGCAGCCACACACACACACACACACACACACACACACACACACACACGTGCATTCACGTCGCTATATAAGTGCAATAATCTTGGACGCGACGTTAAACCCCATTTCACAAGGCTGTGACATACCTCGATTGGGGCCTATTGCGGCTTTAAACAACCTTCACCCACTCGCTGAATATGCGTGATGAAATTTAAACCTTGGCTCACAGATTTGCCCCGTAAGCATCTTTTAAGGCCAATCTTTATAAAACGGTGTCCTCATCAACTCAAGCGTAAAGCGAGTCAAATACATGGTCCAGCGTTATAACGGCTTTATTGGGCAATCTTAATAGATATTACCATAAAACATAACCCGGGCATAACTCAGGATTCAATTGGGATGTTTGTATTGATCAGTCTCACTACACGATTTTATTGAGGTATTTTTCATTTGTTCAATGCCATCCTTCAAACAAACGAAACAGAATGAGTTACATTACAGTATTTTTGAGGATATGAAAATTTGCGTGTGAAGAATCATATTGCGAAAATATCTTAAAAGTGACTGCATGTGCCACACGTGATTGTGACGGAAATGACAACGAAACTCTGCACGTGAAATACGTGGACCACGTTTTCCTATATTTCAGTTTATTTCGTGACAGCTGTAACGCGAGAAGTGGAGGTCATTCTTCGTATGTGTATGCATTTTCTGCATGTTTCTGACTGCCTGTTTTGGCTTTGATTCAGAATGGTAGAGTGTTGTCACAGACTTCAGCACCACAATACTACACAGGAGCAACTCATCCTTCTCGCGCCATGCCCGCCTCCGTGGAAACTAGACTTACTGCAAGACAGGGGAACGGAAAATAGTATACCACCAGATGTTATCGATGCTATCAACCATCGATGTCAACGGCAACTCTCACGTCACGTGATGCCCATGCAGGACGAGTCCAAGTGTGTTGGGGGTTGCAGGATAGGTGCGACGTCGGCAGTTGCAGTAACTGTGTTGATTGTCATTGTTGGTCTACTCGTATGGAAGCTGAAATCAAGGTAACGTTTTCGATTTGGTAACTTTTACTAAAACCGGCAGATATTACGTTTGTAACTATTCTTTGTACGATCAGACGGTAACGTTGTGACGCCTTGACCTTGATTTTCAGGCAAAGGTCACATCGATTGCCGCGAGTAAGGATTCCAAACCCTGTGATGGACTTGAAGAATAAAATAGAACTCTCCATCATCACATTGGACGTAAGTAGTTTGTTTGTTTGTTGTTTAACTGGACTACTGAGTGTCCAAGACGGCGTTAAACCCAACTCAATCACTCTTCCTAAGACATAAATATACTTACACGTACTCTTTGCAAGGTTGATAAATAGCTGATTAAGTGTTGCATTAGGAGTAGAACAGCTTTATCACGACGGGCTGATAATAATTGAATATGTTCTGCACAGACCAAACAAGGCGGAGTCTAATTGCCACAGGGGATGTGGGTGGCTCAGTGATCCTTGCGTTCCTAAGGCATGCCAGAAACCCATGGTCGTGTGTTCGAATCCCGGTTCGCTCTATCTATCTTTCTAGGTTGGTCAACACCATACACGTGATAGTGGGTTTCAACACAGTGATAAACGTCTAAAACCTGAACTCTCCCAACGCCAGGATATAACTAAAATACTCTTCAAAACAGCGATACTCAAAACTCTCTCATGGTCACAGAAATATTTCACCGGAAATATATCTTGTTACTTGTGTAGCAATTGTGATAAATACATCAGATGTGTCACAAGCATTTTGTTAGCAGATTAGCGTGTGCACCACGAGATCTATACTACCCATGCATGTTGTTCCTGGTCGTCACGTATCTCGAATCTTGTTGAAAATGGCGTAAAACCAAACTAACCAAATTCACTATACCACTAACGTTAAAACATTTTAGTCCAGTTTATATGGCTTTGTTTTTTATTTTGTGAATACTTCAATCATCTTCTCAACTTTGACATGTTAAGAATAGCATGAATGTTTACAAAGGATGTGGAAGAATCGTGCAATATTTTCATAGTGCTGTATCGTCGTTACATGATAGCTATATGATTGTAACCATCTTACAGTTCTAATAAGTTTTACAGAAATATAACTGCATGTTTTATTATGGAATGTGTCTTTACAGGGGGACTCGATCCTGTCTTACGACTCCGGGGCGTCTAACGAGGCCTACTCGACTACAGATTTCACCGAGAAGGGGCGCACCTGGGAGCAGTGATGCCATGTGCGTGTGCGTGAGCGCATGCACGTGGTGAGACTATTACAAACTTGTCAATAGCCATTTGTACGGAAGCCTTTTAGGGCCATTTGTTTCTTACTTTTTTCGATACTATCTTGAAATTTCAAGAAACTAAGTTGAAATTTCAAGATACTAAGTTGAAATTTCTAGATACTATCTAGATAGTCTCGGGAAAAAAATTAAAAAAACCAAATGGCCCTAAAAAGCTTCCGTACATTTGTCACCACTCGCCCCTTTCCGTAATCTGCAAGAAGCTTGTCCCGAATAACACGTGTTGGTCACGAATGGTCCATAGCATATTACCCATGACAACGTTGGACGTGTTCATTAAAATGGTTTCTTGGAGATATGTTTGTGACCCCTATAGTGGAGTGCATGGAAATGTGAAAAAGACTTGAATGGGAGCATTAATAGAAGAAACATGCCACACTGGCAGACACCTCTAACCATTGAAGGGGGACAACTCATGAATGTCTTTGCCCATCACCCATGCGAGGGCTTGTATTTCCGTACATACACTTGAATGGGAGGGTCACAATCCGTATTGAAGTACTAATATGATAATTTATTGCACCGTTTGTTACTTGAATGATTTTGTTGAGTCGTTGTCTTTTGGTATAAGTGTTATTGTGTTTGTAATGTTTTAATTTACTTGTATGTTGATGCTTTAAACTTTACGGCAGGGCACAACCGGATGAGAATCGTCAATAGTGTTTCAGGGAATATGGACTGTCGTTGAACTGGTTGAAACAGAATATATCAATTGTGTTCTTTATATTGTGCATTTATTTCGCTTTTTCCCAGTCTCTCTCTTCAACTCTGTACTTATCTCAAGGGGCAAGGGCGCCCCAGTCTGTGCAGTTAATAATAAAATTAATAATATATTTGCCCGAAAGGAAATGTGTTAAATATCAATTTCTGTGATGGCATAAGCTATAAGATAACATATTTACGTGAAACAAACACAAAGAGAATTGAGAACATAAGAGTTACAGAGGAAAGATATGAGACAAAAAAGCACTGACAATGTGGACTGAGCATACAAATAAAAGGGGTAAATGTGATAAAAATAATGAAAGAATGAATTATATGCAGTTGCGTCCCTTAGGCGTGCCAGAATCCTATGATCGTGGATTCAAATCCCAAATCTGTTCTGATGATTTTTTTCTCTCTCAGCACAATATCCATGTTCGTGGGTTTTACCAAAGAGGTAATAAACGTCTAAGACCTGAGAGCATCACATTGGGTTTTCCTCCAGTTGAAAATGCAGTGGTGGTACTGAAAAACTGTTCAAAGCAGCGTTCCATGAACACAACCTTCTCACAAGACTCAACAGCTGTGTGGTGTCTCTGTCTGTCTGTATTATACACTGAACACAGATTATGTATATAAAGAATATTTTGTTATACTGTGTCCTGTGCGTGTTTTCTATGAGTGACCAGTCATGTTGAGGCAACAGCGCAATGATAATCTAACGTAGTTTACGAAAGGTCAAGGAGATCGGCGTTTGTTAAAGTCAACGAAGGATTGACATTTTGAAAGGGTGGACATTTATGTACGCAGATGTCGGCAATATACAGCTTTAACATTTTGGTTTGTCGAGTCTGTTCTGTTTGTTGTTTAACGTCGCACTCAGCAATGTTCCAGCTGACGGCGGTCTGTAAATAATCGAGTCGGTACCAGACAATCCAGTAATTGACATAATGAGCCTTGATCCACGCAATTGGGATACGATGATGCATCAACCAAGTCAGCGATCCCGTTAGTCGCTTTTTACAAGCATGGGTTGCTGAAGACCTATTCTGCCCCGGATCGTCACGGTTCTTGTCGAGTCTGGACCGGACAAACCAGCTGACTATGTCATAGGGAACGACCCTCGCCGACGGGTACGATGATCACGCATTGATGCCAAGCAAAGTTGTGGCTGACACCATGAGCAACATTAGGCACGGTGACGCACATTCAGACAAGTCAAACGATGTAAAACTGTTTCCCCAGTAGCCGGTTCCAACGACAAGCATAGGGTGCCAGGACCTATTCCGCCCCGGAATCCCCAGGCTACACATAACAGCAATCGTCCAATCAGAAATGCGGATGTCAAACGTTTGTTGGTTCAAAATGGATTCGTGCTGTTTAATTTAAGTCTTCGCCTTTTTAAAGGGTCGTAATATTTTATGTACGCTTCAGTTAGTACCCGATGTAAAAATGATAGCGTAAATTACCTTGTTTTACAGAACCATGTGTCGACTTTAATTGTGATATAAAAAACAGAGCACTAAGTGGTGCAGGAAACGGATAATGGCGTACTTTTTTCATTCAACTCATGTTTTTACCTGTGATGAATATGCATCATTTTCAGTGGGAAAATATTGCCATGATACTGAGAATTACGTAGTATTTATTGACTTGAACTCTACATCCCCTAATAGGATGATCTTGACGCACAGAAAACTGTCATATCTGACTTACACACTCATGCCACCACTTCAACAAATTTCTCTAACAGAGACACACACTTAAAGAATTACGCTGTATATCTAACATGGAGCTTGTGAGCTCTTTGCAAACATGTAGTTTTTGAAGTGTTCAATCTTGAATTGAATATGTATTGACTTGGAACAGAATGTGTCGCATTTCAACCTGACAGCTACATCTTCTCCTGTAAAAACCATGTGGAGATTTGAACCCGGATCTTCCATGTGACACACCAACCACTGGACCACCCTTCACATCCCAATACAAAAAGGAAGATTAACAAATAGGATTTAATTACTATGTACAAAATAATACACTTGGCATGTCTTCAATGTTCATGCATAGCTGACCAACACGTTGAAGAAATGGTAGACTTCCTCCTTGTCAAACATGGCCACAACTGTGTTGCATTCCTCACACTTCACAGGGTTGTACTTGTCCTCCTCACTGCTGTTCGTCTCACACGGTGTGGATTTGTCTTGTTTCTTCTTCCTCTTCCTCCGTCCTTTTTGTTCGGGGAATTTCAACAGTTCGTTTGAGTCCACTACACAGCTGGTCACAAACATGGCACGGAACTGGTTGTCATAGTGGTCATGTCTGGAAAGTAATGAACTTTGATTAATATATTACTTCATATTTGTTCCTTAAGTGTAATACACTATCTTCCACCATATATATCTTCCTCCATATAAACCTGTGAAGATCCGGGTTGGAATTGGTCTTTAGCAACCCATGCTCGTCGTAAAAGGCGACAAACGGGATCGGGTGGTCAGACTCGCTGACCTGATTGATGCATGTCATCGTAAACCCAATTGCAAGGATCGATGCTCATGATATCAATCACTGGATTGTCTGGTCCAGACTTGATTATTTACAAACCGCCATAAGTTGGAATATTGCTGAGTGTGGTGCTAAACAACAAACAAACAAACAAATCCTCCATATACAGTCTAATAGCCATTGAACTTCAGTCTAATTCAATTGTTCAGGTAACCAGCCAATCAAATTACACACCTTTAGATTTCACAAACAGGAAATACATTCAGTAGCATAAGAAACAAACCAACAAAGGTCCATATTTAATTTTGCAGTACCTGAAGTTCTTTTATCCACATCATAATTTAATGTTACTTATAGTGATAGATGAACTTTTGTCACGAAAAAATCAGGTGAAGCACAAGATAGGCCTCTGACTATACCCACATAGAGTTGACATGCAAACTTGTCAGTAAAAGGGCAGTTTTGTCACAGATCAACACATTAAATCAGATCTTTTATTCTGGAATGATGCCTCTCTGCACAAAGACCTCACTACAGCTCCATTGGAGGTAAAGGTCTGGTGAACTTTCGCTGAGTCTTGGTACATGTGAGCAAAGCATTCAGACAAGCATATATGATTTCTGTATCTTAAAAACAAGTACTTCCCAGCTCTCCACAAATTACCTACCTCTGACATCTACCCCCCTCACCCCACCCAGTAATAATGCATAATGCAACTCTGTGTTGTCATGAAAACTGGACAGTTTTGTCACAGCTCCACACACCACCTACCTCTGACAATCCCGACACAGTGTCGTCATGCAAGCTGGACAGTTCAAGACTGCATCACTGCGAGATATGTTTTTCTTCTTTTTTCCTCCATGGAGCTGATCTCCCTGGTCATTGGGGCGATACTTTTGACGCTGCTTTACTACCCATCTCTCATCATCATCATCCATGTTAGGGTCATACAGAAGGTCATCGTCAGTTGGTATCGGGTGTTTCCGCTTGGAACCTGAGACTGTGAAGAAAGATTCATCCAATATGCTCAAATTCTCTTCATTTAATTATTTGATTTTCATCTTTTTATTTCTAAACCACATACAACATTCAACAATGTCAAAAGAGTAAGATTAAAAAAGAGAGAACAGAATTGCTGACACTGGCAGGCAAGACAACTGTTTCCAACAGTGAGGAAATTCAGAACTTGAACTTATTCATGAACGACCTTTTCATGTTTTCTTCCAGTTTGGTTTATAGAAGATGAAGTAAGCTCTGACTACAGTGTTTGTGATTCATCATAAGCAGCAAATGTATTCACTCATTCATTCACTGCAAAAGTACATACAGTAAACTATGTTTATAACGAACACGCTTAAAATGAACTGACCGATATAACAAACTTATATTTCAGTCCCGCCCATTTGCTGTATATACGCTGTATATATACTGATAACGAAATATGATTATTACAAACTAAAATGAGTGGTCCTTTTGAGTTTGCTATAACCGTAGTTTACTGTATTTGAATCATACATCAGGAAGGAAATACAATTCTGGTTCTTTTTAATCCTGGACCACGTTTTTTTAAATCATTTTGACTGAAAACAAGGTTCAAATGTTTCTGAAACGGGCATGTCAACAAAAACAAAAATTTCATGATGTTGAAGTTGTATTGCCCTTAAAAGACAACTGAAACACTGACAGCAAAATTGTTACAGTAAAACGTAGAACCAGAAGTCACTGGATTATAATTTAATTCATCAATTGTTTCTCATTTTTAGTAATGTCCCTTTTTCAATGGCGTCTTCTGAAACAGACTTGTTTTTCCTACCTCCTTCATTGTCTTCTTCATCAGAATCAAAGTAAATGTTGTCGTAGAACTTTGTGGGCTCAGACTGCTCCTCGCTTGTTACCTCAGTGGTTGAACAATGGGGTGTGGCCTCTTGTGATACTCCTTCAACTGGTGAAAAATACAGAAGTTTCTCAAAAGGAAACATCACATATTGAGCTTGTGCTATATGATTAGGAACTGACCTTCTTATATCTATAGCTGTGTTGGTGGGGTCGGGTGGGGGCATCACATTGTTTCCAGGACACCAAGCATGTCAACCAAATATATTCAAAATATACATATCATTTGCATAGAAATCTGATTATAGGCATTGCAAAAGCAGTGATTGCAAGGCCTTGTTACCTGCAGGTGCTGATTGTGACCAAGGAGGCTGTTACCATGGTTACATTGCCAGCTGTAATCATGGTAATAGTGAGTGTTGGTCTATGCTCTATTTAATAATATTACCGTGATTACTGTTTTGTCGTGGTGCATAAACCAATCCTGGCCTGATAATCCAGTGGTCATTAGAATGAGCAGTGATCCACCAGTGGGTACACAGGTCACAATGGTAATATGGTCTTTCCTTATCCACATGCGCCCCTCATGGTTTAATCTCCCTGCAGTGTTTTATTGTACATGTACAATAAACAACCACCATGAGTCATTCAATTCTGAAGTAAATGATTCTTGTAGAATGGAAACTATTCAGAAAAAAAGAAGAGTAGTCACCTCTACTCAAAAGCTTTCTTTCTGTTTCAATTGCTGCAACAGTTTGCTGAACTTCTTCATTCATTTCACGCTCGAAATCATCACCCTCTGGTTCCTTTTGTTGCTGGCGGCAATACTGAAGACGTTGCCTCACCTCAGGTAATGCGTGGAGAAGAGTATCAAGTTCATCTTCAGAACTGAAATTATAGATATTTATATCAAATAACATGACATAATGGCATGCATTTTAATTCGTACTCTCATGATGACAAATGATTCACAGGTTACCTGGTTAGACAATCATTTTAAAAAAGAAGAAGATCTTTTATCTATTTTGGTCGGATAATTCACTGGTGATTAACATGATTCATTAAGCATGGTAAGAAAAGTATGAAAACTTGTTATCTGGTCAGGCCATACGTATTAAGACCGTTAGACATGATAATTAGCGGCTTCAACTCGTAATGATGTATAGAAATTCGACTGAGTACGTACTACAAGAAACGAATTGGGTATGTACATTAACTACGGCACATGGTAGCCTATGTTATAAACAACAGTGTCGACAACTTATTTTGTTTACCTTTCTGCTCCATTATCCTCGCTATCGCCGCCGAAATCAAGACCATCGGAGTCCTCGTCTTCATACATATTAGGGACTTACGATAAGACGGGCAATAGATTCAAATGTACAGAATGTATCAACACAGATTCAGTTCTAAAAGAGTTCGGGCGACGTTTTCAACACGATTCTCATGGGCGCAGACATCTTGTTTATACCCCGAAACAACTCCTCACAGGTGTAGTAGGAATCGGAATAAAATACGATGTTCCAGATTTGTGCCATGGCAAAGCTGAGTTGTCTCCCTTCATCTACGGCCAGTCGGTTTGCATCTTTTCGTAACTTGTCCCGGAATGGCACGAATTGGTCACACTGCCAGCAGCTTTCGTGAAGCTAAAATGAACTATATATTTAAATATGCTTAATACTGAGGAATTGCTAGAAGAAAGAAATATGCATGTGTGACATGTTTGTCATCAACTCGCCCTCTAATGACTGTATACATTCTATTTACATTCTTATAGTGATTATACAGAGAATCTCACCCGAGTGTCTTTTGATATCAAATATATCAACACGAGTTGATAAAAGTGGAAATATTCCGAGGCTTGTCGAGGATTTTTGCCACTTTTATCAACGAGGGTGAGACACGAGGGTGAGATTTTATTTATCATCCAACATCATTCTTCCAACTTTTTCAATTTGTAGACAGTAATTAGCAGTGTCTTCAGTAAAGTGTAAAAAGTACTGCTAACAGCTTCAGTAGCAGAGCCATTAGTTATGTCCTTTGATTGTGACGTCATGGTAACCAGTGACGTCACAATGGTCTGCAAAGCATTGTGATGTAATTTCATTGCAGCAATATCTACAGTGTAGATATCGCTTGATCTAATCCAAGCGATATCTCCTGTGGGAGCCAGTTTTGGATGATAAATATAGAATACTAAACGAGCTCCCGTGTAATACCAATTTTATTAAACGAGTGAATAGTTGTGGTATCTGACGAGCGAAAGCGAATCAGATACCACAACTATTCACGAGTTTCATAAAATTGGTTTTACACGGGAGCGAGATTAGTATTTTATTTATTACTTGCCATTTATAACGTTTTTAGAATTATATACTGTTGAGTATGAATAGGCTGACACCTACACGATCCACGGCATAGTCCAATTGAGTTTAACAGAATAATACTTCAAACACGTCAAAAGTTGAAACGTATGAATTTAATACCATACAACGGTCCACCTTTAGAATTCAGGCGTCCGTTCCACAAAATTATCGTAGGGCTAATCGCAACTCACATACTTTAACTTAGACTAACGACTGTCGTTGCGCTACAATACGATCGCCTTGTGGAACGGGCCTTGCACCTCAAAGTTTACAATCACGTCACAATGACCGATGACGTAAATTGTGGAATTTTGTTGCAATGTCCATCGGCGAAACAATGCCATGTGACGTCAGCCTAGCAACAAGGTTGCTGGGGTCATCGAGTGTGCATAAGCTCCTCTCAGTGATCTATCAACTCCATACGCAATGTCGTAGAATAAGCCAAGGGTTGTTGAGAGCTTTCAATATTTGTTCGTGAAACGTGTTCCGAGAGTACATAAGCACGCGTTTTGGTATGACACAATGTGTAATACAGCTGTATGTTTATTAAACGGGTGATCTCTTCAGGGGCAAGTAATAAATAGAGAATCTCACCAGAGTGTCTTTTGATATCAAATATATCAACACGAGTTTATATAAGTGGGAAAACTCCGAGGCTTGCCGAGGATTTTTGCCACTTTTATCAACGAGTGTTAATATATTTGATATCAAAAGACACGAGGGTGAGATTTTATTTATCATCCAACATCATTCTTCCAACTTTTTCAGTTTGTAGACAGTAATAAGTGTAAAAAGTACTGCTAACAGCTTCAGTAGCAGAGCCATTAGTGATGTCATTTGATTGTGACATCATGGTAACCAATGACGTCACAATGGTCTGCAAAGCATTGTGATGAAATTTCATTGCAGCAATATCTACAGTGTAGATATCGCTTGATCTCACCCAAGCGATATCTCCTGTGGGAACCAGTTTGGGATGATAAATTAAACTACTATACATTAAGTACACTATATATATTTTGTAAAGTCATTACTTTTCTATTTATACCTAGAGAAAATGTTTTAAGGTGTTACATTTGATAAGTATAAATCCTTTTATTTGAAGTAATGTGTTCTTACGTTGTTTATTTCTACATATAATTTACTTTTTTCGTGTACAGATATTATGGAGGAAACAAATACTTAGATAAACGTGCCAGCTCCAAGAAAATTATAAAAGCGGACGTAAAATATTAGATATATTGGGTACAGCGATATACAATGATCCTCATTCCTCAGTTCTAACCAGAAGGATAACACAAACTCAAAAATGAAATTATTCACGTGGCAGCTTCAAGAAAATGATAAAAGCGGACGTAAAATGTCACAGATATGCAAATATTTGGGTACAGCGACATCTACGTTTATTTATAGATTTATAAGGAATTATTTCATTGGTCGATATTTATGCAACAGGTGCGATGATGATTTCAGTTGCTAGTGTTGAATAAAGGAATATCTATCTTAACAGATTCATTTAGAGTCAATAAACGATATATATTGAGGTGATCTAATATAATGCTGCTTCAGAAAGGTATAATCTTACGGGAAACGAAAATAGAAGACGGGCATCGAGCTCTGGCGACGGAACCAATCAGAGCTCTCGTATCAAATTGACTTTGGCTGCCAATCTCTCATATGGGACGAACACTTTAAAGTTTGAAACGTCAACGAGGAAAGACACTGCTCCTCGTGTTATAATGAATGGATACTGTATGCCAGGGTCTTAATCTCGTGGATTATGGATAGAGCACCACGGAAAATACTTCGTTCTCCTTCTCTGAAGAGGAAAAATAAACAACAACCATTGAACCAAAAAGTGAGTAGGCCTATTTGCCTTGTCAATTTCACCCACATGAACTATCCTACGTGTGTCCTACATGAAAGCTAGCACCACACCTGTCACGCGAGACAGGTGAAAGGATGTCAATTGTAGATTTCATGGTATTAATTTATTATTAACTGTCAATTTTACGTGAAACACGTACTAACAGTGGCAAAAACGTGGTAACCTCATCTTGGTTGAAAATTTCAGCCGAATATTGACCAAGACATGTCTCACTTTAAGTCTGTAAAGAACCCGAGGGTGCTGTCAAATTCAAAATATTGAGGGTTCATTTTAGGGTATAAGTCATATGACTGAACATAGAACAGATATATAGGCCCTATATGTATATAAATAATTAACAAATGATGGAACTGATCATATGAATTTGCTCACATTAAATCATTTTGATTTGTAAATTGATTGTGAACGTGTGATCATACCCCAACTCAAGTTTAACGCAGTATAGACCTTGAGCTGTTGAGTAACTAAACTACTCACTGAATTTCATCAGAGGTGAGAAATTTGTCATGTAGACCAACATGGAGCCACATCATGAGATTGGAATGAGAATGCATCTCTGTATTCTAGTCATGATGAAGTAATTACTCAATGTCCGCAGTTTCACTGTGGAGTGACTGTAAGTCATAAACATTACAGAGTGATGTCAGCTTATTTCTACACAGCCCTATAACAATAAACTGCCCTTGTCCTTGTAGTATTAGGAGCCTCTGGGATAATTATCATCTTTGCCATTGCAACATCTTGGATTGGGTAATGATAACAATGCACACGACACCTTAGGCGTGACTAATTGCAAGGTTCGTCAACTTTCATATTGTTATCTACTTATCCAATTATCACCCAGATGACCTCAAAGTTTTTTAGTGTTTTGATAGCTAAGTAGTAAGCTTAATGGATGAATCCAGTTAGATGTTTGGCAGTAAATAATAAGATGTTAAGTGGGTAACCGAAAGTTAAACATATTTGATTTACCTGAAGGTAAATTCTGTGGGCATGTCAGAGGGTACTCACTTCACTTTCCAGGCACACTATAATGGTGAGGTTGATGTATCGTGTCTGTTGAATATATTGTTTCCAGTTAATGACTTCATTATAGCCTGTCTTTCTGAATTGATGTTTTATGATATAAACATGATAAAGATAGAACATTAAGGGGACAATGATAGATGACAGCCTGCCACAGTTATCTCCATAACTTCTTAGTTTGAACAGTCCAATTATGTTCTATAAATGGTCTCTTGTTAAAAATATGGAATTTGTTTTTTGTTTTTTGAAGGCAGTCTTATTCCTTTACTAAGTTATCTGTGTATAGGAGATAGAACATTCTCATCATGAAAAGCACAGACACAGATATGTAGAGTAAAGGAAGCCATGTGTTGGATAGAGAGCTCAGGATACGGTCAGCCTGTTAGGCGACATGTATGAGATTTGATAATAGAAGTCAATCATGTCAATAGGGGTGACTGTTAGTGGCTGTTTAGCAATTGCAATACTATTTGGAGTATCTTCACCGACCAGCAATGCAGACAGCTTATGTTTATTTGATGTGATGTCAACCCTTACACAGCCACCATTTCCTCGGTTCATGGGATTGATACTACTGAACTTGTTGGAGATTTATGGGAGATAGCGCTTATTATAGTCGGGTGTTAATGAAACTTAAAAAATAACTATATTCTGACTAATTGTTGTTTTTTGTCATTGTTTACATCTTTTGATAGTCAGGCCGGTGGGGTAGCCAAGTGGTTAAAACGTTGGCTCGTCACGCCGAAGACAAGGGTTTGATTCCCCACATTGATACAATGTGTGATGCCAATTTCTGGTGTGATATTGCTGGAATACTGCAAAAAGCGGCGTAAAACAATACTCATTCACTTTTGATAGTTGAGGAGGTATCATCTAACTTATCAATGTATTGTCAATGCCGTAAGACAGTCACACTGCATCATAAGTTCGATCTATTGTAATACTTCTACAAGTTAAATATTGTCAGCTCAGCTGAACACAAGATCAGATTACCTGTCTGATGTTCAACTTCAGCCCTTTTCCTAAGAACTTCTCAAGATGATCATTTTACAGGAGTACCTGCTGAAAGGCACACACCCGAGACAGAGGCTGTGAAAATTGATCCATCTTGATGCAAATGACATACATGTTCTCCTTTTGTTGGTTACACTTTATACCAGATTAAGTTACCAAGTCTATACATTTGAAGGGAAGTATAGATGTTTACCAAGATTTCCTTCCCAAACAGAGCTCAGACCTTGAAATTATTGAAATTGTCCGCAGCTGAGAAAGCCTCTTACAAGAATGCAGTACACCTTGTCAATGTCCTAGTAAATGAACCAATCTGAAACTGAAGATAATCAACCATTGACACTGTTGGGCTTTGAGGTTATTTCCTATCTGAATAGAAATGTCTTCATAAGTCAAAAGCAGGTGACAATAATGATTAGTTTTAATTATTCAACTTCCTCAAGACCTGCAATGTAAATTATGTGTGTCCATTCACTTTTTTTGTTTGTTTGATTGTTTTTTTAATGCCAAACTCAGCAATATTCCAGCTATATGACGGTGGTCTGTAAATTATTGTGTCTGGACCAGACAGTCAGTGATTTACATGAGCACCAATCTAGGCAATTGGGTATGATGACCTGCATCAACAAAGTCAGCGACCTGACCACCCGATCCCTTTAGTCGCCTCTGATGACAAGTATGGGTTGGTGAAGACCAATTCTAACCCAGATCTTTACGAGAGTGTGTCCATTCACAAACTGTATGCGTTAAACCCTGCTCATGTCCACCAAACCCTTTTGGTGTATTGGTGACCAAATTTTCAATATGACTCTCTTTTTATGAAATACATATCAAATACAATATTCACCCATGTTTACAGCATTGCTACTAGATTGAAAAATATAGTTTAACTTCTCCTGACTGCTCTTACTTTCGGAATCAATGTAATCTGAACCATATATATTCATGTGTGCTAGATAATACAGAGAAATGTTTAAATTGAATAAGTCAGGTATTGTATTTCAATGTTGACATGTTTTACAACAAACATTGGTGTACTACATGAGAAATTAAAGGAGGTAAGGGAGCGATATAAACCAGCGACAGGCCTGCTACACTACATCGATGGTTCTTGATCAGATGAGCTGTGATGGCCTACAGCTGTTGTTACCTGATGGCTGACAACAACAGTGACATGGCCCTTACCCTGCTGATAACAATCAGTTGTCTTGACAGTAGCATCCGAGGGACATGGACCCTGGGGCTGTCATATTACAATGGTGTTGTGTCATCCTCACGGGTTGTTGAGGAAGTGGCAGTTAAATACGAGATTGTTTGTTCATGATCAGTGTTTGAAGTGGGTCTCTTGGGGTCATTGATGTTTTGTCCTGTTGCATTTGAATCTAGGGACCTTGTTTTGACATTAGGGTTACAACAAGGATCCTTCACTTTTATGCTTAATTTCGAACACTGATAATTGACAATTGAGGTCTGAACGAGTGAGTTGGGTTTATTGCTGCTTTGAACCAGTGTTTGAAATAATTTTAAGATCCCAAAATATGGTCAGGCAGGTGACCCATAAGTGTTGCCTGCCCATCTTCAAAGTTACCTGCCCACATTCCGACATTATAAATATTGAAAAATCGCGAAAAATAAGAGACAAATGACATATTTTCCCGCCAAACGTTCTCTGATTCCGAATAACAAGTGTATGAGGCTGTGATTTTGAATATTGTCTTTGCCAAACTCATATTCAGAGGAGGCATTTTGATTGGTTTCTGATTTCAAACTCATGAGTGGGCAAATTTCAATGTTAGGTCCTTGAGAGATGGAGATGGTGACGTCACTCAGGATCGAAGCTGTGGTGGTGACGGTCATAATAGAAAGGAGATATAATACTCTGGATAATCGAGGATGTGGATGTGGTAGACGCCTATCACTTTGGTGAAACCCATGAGCATGGGTGTAGTGCAAACAAATTAACGACTCAGGATTGTAATCAGGGCGAATAATTCGAAGGCGACAATTAGATCCATGTGTAAGTTTTTAGGAACCTCCCAGAACCGGCTAGGACACACAAGAGGAGCCATATTTAGTTCCTGTGCTCAGAGATCCTGACATAACAATTTTATGTGGCCATGGGATAGTTATTATTCTTAATTTTTTATTTACATGCTTATTCTCAGATACCAGTAGAACACTATCAATAGTCATTCATTGGTTTTTCATTTGTTGAATTGTGAATTTCTTAAAAGCCATTAAATGGCTGATATTAAATTACAGCACCAAATATCAAACCTGGGTAAGTGGTAGGCAAAACAGTCATTGCATCATATCACTCCACCATTTTCGACCAGAGATTTCATTGATTAAATTCCATATATCAAAACTATGTAGAATTGTTTGCAAAACATGCCATGCTTATTACTCTCATAGTTGAGTCACCTGACCCTTGTACCAATGCTCTACCATTTAGAAGATGGAGGGTTGCGGTAATAAAAATGTGGAGAGTAAATTGATTGCTTTGATTTGCCCTCACAACTTGCCAAATTGACCAATATTGAAAACAGCTGGGAAGGTAGTTAAACCATTTAAGCTCTTTGAGGGAGATTTTTAACCCTGATGGCTTTGGCTTGGAAACCATTGGTTCTTAAGAGGTTGTCCGATTCCATTTCCTCATACTTGTGTCATGCATATTACCCACAAGGCTAGGAATATGATTGACAGTCCTGGAATTCAAAGGGTCCTTGGAGGAGAAAAAGTTGCTGTAAGGTAATGAAGGCTGTTAGGTACATAGACATGATGAAGTAATGGAAGCCATGTGAGGAGATGGTAGAAGCCGTGGAGCGTTAAGCAGTGAAGCTCTGATCTGTCAGTCACTCTGCAGTGCAGATGCACTTTTTCCCAGATTGACAAGATGGCTTCTAGAATGCACGTTCCCAACATTCTGAGTT